ATTTCTCAATTTTATGAAGATTAATCAGTACTCTTGAATTTTTTTTTAATTTTCAAAAAAATCACAATTTTTTATATTTTATTTTTTTCATTTCTCAATTTTATGAAGATTAGTCAAATCACTCCAAAAAACCGGTTTGATGGATTGATTTAAAAATTAATAGGGATATGGGGATTCATTAGGCTGTAAAAAACCCTGTAAACATTAGTCGCCCCATCAATATTTGTGAATACGCAGTAGATTTACAAAAACAATAAAAAAATAAAAATTAATCAGTACTCTTGAATTTTTTTTCAATTTTAAAAAAAAATCACAATTTTTTTTTATTTTATTTTTTTCATTTCTCAATTTTATGAAGATTAATCAGTACTCTTGAATTTTTTTTAATTATCAAAAAAATCACATTTTTTTATTTTATTTTTTTCATTTCTCAATTTTATGAAGTCAAATCACTCCAAAAAGCCGGTCAAAACTTAGGATTGCCATCTGAAGGATTTTAATTTTAATCTAATTTTTTTTTTCGATCTCACGGTACTTTAAAGAAAAACTTTTTTTTCAAAAAATCATAAAAAGATCTTGTAAGACATTCCAGTTTTTGACACTACCCTCTCAGTGAAAAATTTACGTAAAAAGAATATAAAAAAAAAAACAAATTAAAGCTGGATGATGAGGCTATCTGGCCCATGTATTAGTTTAACTACAAAAAATCACTCAAGTCCGTGGACCAAAATAACAAAAAATACTTTTTTCTCGCATTATTTCTTGGGGTTGCGTGAAAACCATAGCACGGGAAACACAAAGATTGTTAAACTTGAAACTTAAAGCTTAAAATGTTTTTTTTATACGACCATTTTCCGAAGAGATAGTCTCATCAAAAAATTTAGGAAATATTTTTGTTCCTTGAATTCTTTGGATTAGTTTTTTAAATAAATCTAATTCTTGAATAAATGTCTTCTTTTAAATTCTGAATAAATTACGTAAAAATACCCACCTTCGAGCACTTTCTCAATCAAATGAAACCGTTCAAGTTCTTTCTCCTGTTGAAGCTTCAACAATTCCGAATCGAGTTTATTTTGTTGTTCAGCAATATCAGCTAGAAGCTAGAAATGCATTACACAAAATCGCCCAAATATCAAAACCAAATACCTTTTCTTTATTAATTTTTTGTGCACTGGCCAATTCAAACTCTTGTCGCTGCATCAATTCATTGGCTTTTTCCATTTCGAGGAAATCTTGTAATTTTTGTTTCTAAAATCGTACAAACATATTTTTGGGAGAAAAAAATAAAAATAAGTGAAACAAATATGTATGATTAAGTGAAAAAAAGCGGTCAAAACTGACTACAATAAAGCTTTTGGTTTGAAAATAAATTGTAATAATAAAAAATAAACATGCCTTAATATTTTCTAGCTTCCATATTTTGGCCTAAAAAAAACATAAAAAACTTATTAGAAAACGATGATGGTTAAATCTAAAGCAATTATGGAACGTCCTGACTGTCTAATTACCTCAAAAGCATCAGTTTGGTCCTCATTGTTGTCTATATTCGTGTCAGGAATGTCATCTGTGGTTTCAGGTCCGAGGTAAGGTTGCCCTAAATCTGTTTAAACAATTGTAATAGATTAATAATATACCTAAAACACAAGTTACAGAAGACAATAAGAAAGAACTTGAAATTTAGTACAAGCCACGTAGCGACGAGTTGAGGTATGTTTTATACTATTTTCAGTGTTGCCAGAAAAAAACAGAAAATTTACCAGATCCGAGTTGAAAAATATAGAAAATTTTCACCAAATTACGATTTGTATGGCAAAATGTCGCGAAAAACGCAGTTTTCAGCTTAAAAATTTGCTTAAACTCTTGAAAGAGCAAAAATGGCATGCTTTTCGGCCTAATTCTGTGATTTTTCGGCTTGTTTTCAACAAAATTTTGCAAAATAATTGCGATTCTAGCTCAAAAACGTGCTAAAACGCTCGAGAAATGCAAAAATAATGTAATTCTAGACCTAATTTCTTGATTTTTTTAGTTTTTTTTTTAGCAAAAAACCGGAGATTTTAGTCCGAAAACGTGCTTAAAGTTTTTGGCCAAATTTTGTGTTTCACACAGTTGTGAAACAAACAAGATAACATCAACATCAATCCTTTTTGTGATTTTTAGGCGTGTGAGATAATCAAGTTAGAGCAACCTAAGAGTTAGGTAAAAATATCATAATATAATCTTTTTTATAACAATTTAGTGATTTTTGACACGCTATGACAAAATCTGCTTGAGTCTTTGAAAAAGGGTAAAAATACAGGGTGCGCCAGAACTTGCGCCCCAGAAAAAATTTTCAAGGAAGATAAGATACCAGGAACATGAATAAAATGTTTAAAAAAGTCTATCTGTCAAAAAAATTTGACATTTATTTTTTGACATTTGACATTTTTTTATATCCATTTAATGATACTGATGATCTTGTATATGTTTTTTTTTACATTTATTTAGTAAAGAGAAAAATTTTTACAACAAAAGTCACAAATAACATTAAACAGAATTACAATTTAGGATACAGCTTCTTTGTTTCCTCTTTTAATAGCCTATAGCAAAAATACTTGGAAAATTATTTTTCCAACAGAAATAAAGGGAGTCAAAGTGCAAACTTTAAACCCTCATAACTTCGAAATTTTTATGGATAAATTTTTTTAACATTTTTCCATGTTCCTGGTATCTTACCTTATATGGCATTTTTCTATGGGGCGCGAGTTCTGGCGCACCTGTATATCATTTTCGGCCTAATTCTGTGTTTTTTAGCTTGTTTTTAACACAATTTGCGAAATAATTGCGTTTCTGGATGAAAAACCTGCTAAAACACTTAAGAAATGCAAAATTAATGTAATTTTCGACTTAATTTGTTGATTTTTCAGTTCGTTTTAGCGAAATCTCGCAAAAAACCTGAAATTGTGATACAAAAACGTGCTCAAAAACTAGTTAAATCAAGTGAAACGAACAAAATAACATCAATATAAATTGTTTTTGTAATTTTTTAGCGTGTTTAGACAAGATTTTGCAAAATTAAAGAGCTTCTTGTTCAAAAATGAAGTTCAAAAACAAGCTAAAAATAATATCAATTTCGATTTCATTTTGTAATTCTTTTGCCTGCTTCAACAAAATTTTTGAAATTTTCTTTATTTTTATCTCAAAAACGTGCTTAAACTCTTGAAAAGGGCAAAAATAGGGCCGTTCTTAGTCGAATTTGTTAAATTGTTTTTAACGAAATTTTGCGAAATAATTGTGTTACTAGCTGAAAAAGTATTCAAAAAGACAAAAATAAATAGTCATTTTTTTTCTTGTAAAAGAAAAACAGAACTATTTTTAAACAATTTGATAATTCGACTTTTTTGAAAAGATTGACTAAAAAATCGAGTTTCTAGTTGAAAACGTGAAAATGCCCAAAAAAACAGTTTTTTCAATTCCAAAAAATCACCAGATATTAGAATTTTTACAAAAGTTTTCACCAGATCACCAGACTAACATGAAAATCACCAGATCTTGTGACTGGCAACACTGCCTATTTTTATGAATATTGAAAGCAATTTACTTCCAACGGCATTGTTACCAACGTTAAAAACATAAAATACACTAGGTTGTTAACGCACCCAAACTGATTCCATAATAATAAAAAATGTGAATTTTAAATTACCAGTGCAAATAAATCTCATGATGGCTTCAGTCCCTTGTCCCATTACATCACTAGGAGGATAAACAAACCCTTCAGGATCAGCCTCTAAAGTAACTAGTTTTCGAGCATCACAAATACTTTTTGGCAACCGTTTCAAATGTTTATTCCCACAGACACTCAAAAACTTCAAATTTTTCAAATTGCCTACATTTTCCGGTAGCGTCTTCAACGAATTCCGAGCAACATTGAGTACATTTAAGTTATGTAAATTACAAATAGCATCAGGCAACTTTTTTAATTGATTATCGTTTAAATAGAGCTCTCGCAGGCTCCTCAGAACCCCAATTTCCTCAGGAAGGTTAGTGAAGGCATTTTCGTGCAAATCTAGCACTTGCAACTGGAGCAAATCCTTCAATTGGCCCCCTCCTGCCAACGAAGACAAGCAATTGCGGTCCAGCCGCAACACTTCCTTGAGAAACACCCGGCACAGCGAGTAAATCCCCTGCGGGACGTGTCTTAAATTGCAGTCGGAGAGGTCGAAAATGGGCTCGGGGGCTTCTCGTGCCTGAAATGTGCGGTTTAGAGGGGGTGGAGGTATGCAAAAGAGGCTTACAAGATACAGTTTGTGTTCGAGTTTGGATTTATTTTCCTTGGTTCTGCGGAACATCACATCACACTGAAGGCACTGGCGACACGAGAACCGTTAGTTTCATTGATCTTGAGGGTTAATTAACAACAATTGTGAAATGTTTGTTTTGATTGCACGAAACGTCAGTTTTGACATTTGGGGTCAATGCTGCCAATGGTGTAATGTTAAAAAAAGTGACATATTCAGATATTCAAATGCAACTTCTGGTTTATGCATTTTAACATTGTAATCAATTTAAACCGTTAATTTGATGTATGGCAACTCACATTTGCATCACTGCATCACGGAATTTAGACAATGTATTGCAAGTGGTAAAGGCACCTTTAGCTCGCCTAGGGATTTTTGTTGCCTTGAGTGGAACTACTGAACTAGTCGGTGGTGGTGTTTTGTGTTTTAGAATAGAAGAAAAGAATAAAAAAGGCCAGTAGGTACCACAATAACTTTCTTAAAATGTCGTTTAATAACAATATTATTATAAAGTTTAATTAAGTTTAATAACAGTATTAAACGTTCTTGCTTTATTTCCTGCGTGAAGTACCATCCTAAGATAAATTAAATCACAATTGGAGGAGGGAATATAAAACCCACATTACAATACTTAACATTTATTTTTCTATAAAATATAAGTTGTGCGTTTGTCGCGTACACGTTGTATAAAATTATTTGCCTCTATAAAAAGAAACCGTATAAAAATCCGTCTATAACAAGCATTGAACAAATCTCAGGACTATGGGGGAAGTACATGGCGTTTCGTCGCCGCCTACGACTAAACTAATCAACAATTTATTGCGTGTTTGTTTCGTCGGTAACAAGGGGTGTGATACTCTCCTTTCTTCGCATTCTATACTCGGTTGGGGTCAACATCCCCCTGAGAATAGTATCATATGAGACTTTGAGGCCGCGATCCGCCATCTTGCAGTACATCTCCCAACACTCTTTTTCCTTAACCGAACCGAATTTCGGTTGGTCGTCGTCCGCGATTTCGGTTTTTTCCTCTTCTTTCGGTTCAGGAATGTCAGGTGGTGGGGGCGATTCAACAACTTTCGTTTTTATGGCCACTTTGATGTCGGTTTCAGCTTCGATTTTCACATCTCCACTGAAAACAGAAAATAACTTGTATAATTTTATTAATGGCATACAGGGTGCGCCAAAACTCGCGCCCCAGAGAAAAATGCCATATAAGGTAAGATACCAGGAAGATGGAAAAAATGTAAAAAAAAAATTATCTATAAAAATTTCGAAGTTATGAGAGTGCAAAGTTTGCACTTTGACTCTATTTATTTCTGTTGGAAAAATAATTTTGCTATAGGCTATTAAAAGAGGAAACAAGGAAGCTGTATCCTAAATTGTAACTAAGTTCAATGTTATTTGTGGCTTTCATTGGCAAAATTTTTGTCCCTTTACTAAATAATTGTAAAAAACATATACAAGATCATCAGTATCATTAAATAGATATAAAAAAATGTCAAATGTCAAAAAATAAATGTCAAAATTTTTTGACAGAATTTTTTAAACATTTTTTTCATGTTCCTGGTATCTTACCTTACTTGAAAATTTTTTCTGGGGCGCGAGTTTTGACGCACCCTGTATAAGTCTGGAAAAGTACTACTTTACGGACGATCTCGGCAAAAATTCCGTTTTGTGCCGAGTCATGTGAGGTTGGTTTTTTCGTGCGATATGTTCGTTTCATTTAATAATAGTCGAATGATTGATTTTATTAATACTGAAAGCAATGGAGAAATTTCAATTCAATAAGTCAAGTCGGCTGGTACCGTCGCGAATGTTATTGCACAGTCGATAACCGAATTATTACGAATTTTGATTGGTTGATGGATTCGATGATGGACAGATGTTTCCATTATAATATTATTTGGGACGCGTGTTTGACAAAAATCTCAATTCGATTTGTGCGAATCGGAAAAGCGAGATGACCTGGAAATGGAAAATAGGTAACTAGGACGTGCTTTCCGGGCTTTTATTTTACATCGGAATATTGATGCGTTTATGATTTATTGTTGTGGTGAGGTTTCCGGACGAAAAGCGAATCAAAAAGCTTTGATTGTGTCGATCGGGAAGGTTTTTTCATTCGGGTACAATTGAATTTCTTTGAGTGAAATTTTAAGAGTTGTAAAAAAATAATAGATGATTTTTTTTTCATGTTAATTGATTATAATTATTCAAGTCAGTGATTTTTTTATATGTGTATACGCGTGTTTGACCTATCTCACTTATTATTAATAAAGCAAAAATATTGTTGAAATTTTTTATTATTTTTTATTTTGTCAATTTTTATATAAAATGTTTCGGGAAGTCGAATGATATAATGGGAAATCCAAAAAACTGCGAGAAGTTTACAAGTTATTTCAACGGATATACGAGTAGGTTTTGCATATTTGGGTCAATTTTAGAGACTTTCTCGATAATTATGCATCACAGGACGAAATCCTTTTTTCTATAAAGATAGAAAATTAAAAAAACCTGAATTCTATTCAATTATTTATTTAGGTATATACAAGGTGCGCCAGAACTAGCGCTCCAGAGAAAATTTTCTAGTAAGATAAGGTACCAGTAACATGGAAAAAATGTTTAAAAAATTCTATCTGTCAAAAAAATTTGACATTTATTTTTTTATATTTGACTTTTTTATGTCTATTTAATGATACTAATGATCTTGTATATGCTTTTTTTTATAATTATTTAGTAAAGGTACAAAAATTTTGCCAATAAAAGCCACAAATAACGTTAATAGTCTGTAGCAAAAAACTTGAAAAAATATTTCTCTAACATAAATAAATAGAGTAAAAGTCCAAAATTTAAACTCTCATAACTTAGAAATTTTTACCGATAGAATTTTTTAATATTTTTTCCATGTTCCTGGTATCTTATCTTATCTTTTTCTCTGGGGCGCCAGTTCTGGTATATTTCGTATACCTAAGCTTTATAGTGTTTTTTAATGTTTTTAAGTAAAAAAAGTATACAAGACAAAGTGAACATTATTGATCCAGCCTTTATATAACCGTTGAGTCTTTCACATGTTTTTTTTGAGAAAAATCTTCAAGCTTTTTCCTTTTTTTTGAATTACCTTTTTAGGTAAAATTTTAGTTAAAAAATGTGCTTTTGTTAGAAAAAAGTAATAATAACATTTTCGACC